TGTTGGAGATTTTAGGTTTTTTTTTCTCGATTTGATGACAGAGACATTTTTTTAGACGACAACGGTCAACGATTTCATTGGTTTGTTAATATTTTCGGAATCAGGTAGGTAATATATTATTATCTCATTGTAAAACATTGTTTTTGATTTATTTTGTTTCTGTTTTTCAATATCGATTAAAAATTAGATACAAACATTGATGGTTGTTATTTATTATTTAATACGTTTTTAACATAACTTGTTATTTTTGTTTATCGTTAACTAAATAAATCAACTAGTTTAAGTTTTCGTTTAAAACTTAAATTTTACAGATATGCTAAAAGAGTTGAATACGAACGATGGTTTTCGAATGGGCTATTGCGATAATTCGATTTTTAGTTGTTTGTGTAATATACGTTACTTTATATTGAATAATTTTAATACTGATTTTTTATGAGAAATAATCAAAAATTGTTGTTTTTTTTATATTTTATCTTTTGACTGAATGTATATTTTGTTAGTTTAACCTAACGCAATCGTGTTAATAATTTTTATTAACTTGTCCACCTATGCACACACACACACACACACACACATATATAACAGAGTAAAATATTTTCATCCTCTTGTTTGACTAAAGAGTATGACGTATTGACACACAATACATTATATATAGGTACCGTTGCGCGAGAAAAACATTATTTTTCTAAACATTCAGCCGTATGATTTAGATAGAAAATGTAAAAAACCACCGACGAGCATTGTATACACGTTTTCGTTTTGTTTTGTTTTGTTTTTTTTTTTTTTATTCGCTCTGAATCGGCTGCCTGTATATTATAATATTTGACTAAGGCGTGTATACGCTTGCTCTTGAATTCCCTAGACAGTTGTGTGTATTATATGAAATCCCTCGGCCCACTATAACCGTACCGAATACGTACATCATCCGGGGCAACGAGTGTTTTGTTTACGTGCAATTTATCGTCTTCCTATTATTATAGTTTTCCGTGCCGTACCTACGAAAATTATTATTAAATTCACCGTAAGGATAATTTTCGCAACGACGTGCAACGGTATGCAATGTAAAATCATTAAAAACGATTCTGAGCAGAGTTCGATTATAGACGTTTTAAATGACCGTAATATTAACGAATTAAACCGCTCAAAGTGTTTAAAAGTAGTGATAAAAATGTATATGACGTGCGATATACATAACTTATCTTTTTAATGTACATTTTAACTATTGCATATTATATATATAATAAACAAATACACGGTAAGGCTCGAAAGTATCTATTTTGGGGGGAAATTCGTGAAAAAGCCACTATAATATAGTAGGTGGGACATTCAAAAGGTATATAGGAAACAGGGTAGGGTAATTCAATTTACATAGCTATCAAAAAAAAAAAAAAAAACTATAAATTATTGTAATCAAAAACCGATTCTGAGGGGTGAAGTATATTTTAGTAAATATTCCTGTTTTTTCTCGTGTAGCTGAAATGCTCTAGAAATCAAAATGAAACCCACGTATCGAAATTATGTTATCGGATTTTTTATTTATTTTTTTTTTAATTGTATAGAAAAAAAATATTAGGATAAATTGTATGCAAATAAAGTACCGCCAGTTGAAAAACCTCCATTTTCATAGTGATACGATGCGTAATTGCGTAATTCGGGGCATTTTCAATAACCTAAAAAACTTTACGAACAATTTGTCATTCCGAATTTTCCTCGGAATAAAACATATTGACGTGGCGATGAGCTAGTCAAAGTAAAAAAGTTCGAATTGGCTATATCAGTGGCGTCGAACGAAATATGCGAACACATTCTATCATGAAATATTTCACACGCTTATTTATCGGAAAATCTAATAAAACCCGCATACGAATAGGTGTACACGCCGAAACACAATGGACATTTAACAGAAGAGCGAAAATACGAACTCCGAAAACGCAATGACCGTGCGTTTTTGATTTTGCTTTCGCAAAATACTTTTCTCCCAAAGTCACATGCGCGTCTCCGTAGGCGGTTCCGGGGTGGCTTTTTTCGACGGAAATCATTAAAAATAAAATAATAATAATAATAAAGCTACGGGCGTACCTATCGATAGTGAATTACCGCGAAAACTCCGTGAACAATTAAGAAATCGCCAATTAGCTCGGATACGACAACGAAACACGCGCAATCGAATCTCGTATAATCGTTACTATACAGGGTGAATTTTTTTTATCACGAACCAACATTTATGGCAATTCATTACACCTCCGTACGCTCCGCCGGTCTACATTTTAAACTCAAACTGGTATAGCTCGGAAAACGGTAAATCTGACATAAGCGCGGTGTTGTGCGTGTCAACATTTCCGGAAAAATAGTAGTCTCCATTCAAATCTACGTTCAAAAGGGAAGGGATAAGGGGGGGGGGGGGTTCCTGTTTGAAAAAAACCAAAAGTATGCGCACTTATTTAAGGTACATGACGAGTAAGGGGCGAACAATTAAAAACGGTTTTAAAACAAAGCTTAAACGATCGCGTATAATAATCAGTAACGACGGAAATTCACTTGAATTCCTGCGAGATAATATTGCTGGTTCGTGATAGTAAAAAAAAAAAAAAAAATCGCCCTGTATTTACGTTACGGCCACCAGCTCCGCCAGTGACTTTTAACGGTGTTCAACAGCGTCGCGCCACGTCGTTTTTTTAATAGTATCGTAATAACGTACGGCCAAAGCATTTAGGCGTTGCGCGTGCACGCTGTACATTATAATGAATATCCGTACTACGCAGTACAACGTTTAGGGGTTTGTTTGTTTTAATTAAATTCGAGAATCGAACTATACGCGACGTATCCTCGGTATTAAAAACTCGATTATAATATTTACAATATTGACTTTGTGAAACGCGCCGGACAATGACGTCGTCGGTTTTATTTTATTTGTTATTATTTTAATTTTTTTCGTTACTAATTGTTTATTGAAATATCCTTTTTTCTTTTTTTTTTTTTTTTTCTAATAACGAAACAAATAATAACAGTAATTTTTTTTTTTTTTAAAACACCATATCGTACTATTATTATTATACAACAATATTTTTAATCGAGTACCTACGTGATTACGGCGTGTTTTTTATTTCCACGCACATTAATAGTAATAATATCCCCCGTACGCTTTTGAAACGCGCAATTTTTTTTATTAACGCGTTTACCATGGTGTAGTAGTTGTTTTTATGTATGTATGTATGTGTATTTTTTTCCGAACGAAAAAATCAATTCTTTTGATACGCGATGATGTCATTATCATATCAATCGGATTGAGTTTCGTACCCGAACGAAAAACCCATACTATTATACGAATATTCAGTCGCGCGGTACAAACGATAATATTAATAGGCAAAAATATCCGTTCGAAAAATCACCTAAGTACAAAAAAGAAATTATACAAATTTTCGAAAAAAATTATCGCAATTTCGCAATTATCAATGCTCTCCGCGAAACGGAAAAATAATTATCGTGTACGTCTTCAGTATGTTTTTTATTTACAGGACATGGCTACGCTAAGCAGTTTTTCCGTGAATTATTTCGATATTTTAACAATTATAAATGTTACCAAAAAAAAAAAAAAATAGGTGAAAATCGAGATTTGAATATAACATACAACGATGATCGCTTAAGTTTTGACTCTAGTGATATTAAAATATGTGTACCTCATAATTGTAACTTTATAACAAAATTCCATATTATTCGTATGTTTAAAATTGTTTACAAATCCTACTCCACTTTACATAATAATTTTGCGAATTTAGTGTATGCAGTAAAATTTAAATCTTAAAGAGCTCAGTAATACGTATTTCAAACAATCTGGGACCAGATTCGGTTAGGTTTTTTTACGCGTTATACATCAGCATTCTGCATAATATTATTACGAATTGGTCTATTCCACGTGCCGGTATACGGTTTACATTTAAATATATTATTATTATTGACTGGTGTCGGGCGATTTTTTTTTTATTCAAAATTTAACTGTAGCAAAACCAAACACGTAATTTACGTATTCGCCGGTACAATGCGGACGTTTTTGAGCGTACACGAACGAGCAAATCTTCCTCGGAAACCTTGGGTTCCTATATGGTAACGGGAATGCGCGCCGAATAAATTAAAATGAAACATAATTATTATACTCAGGGTTTATAGGATTTGTTTAACTTTTAGCTGTTAACGTTGTTTTTATCTGGCGTATACGTATGGCAGTGCTATGGAAATTCATATCGTACGACAAGTCAAAATGCGAATGTTTTTTTTTCTTTTCATTTCAATAATTAAACGAAAAGACAAGAATTTCACTAGTCTTTTTGATTTTTATAATTTTTCGAGTGCCTTTTTTCGGGCCGCAGTGAAGTTTTCTGACGATTTTTTTCGTTAACATTATTGCTGCAAGTGTCGAACCCTGAATATTGCAGATTCAACCAGGGGCGGAATGAAAATCAAATCAAGGCAAGGAAATTGGAATTCATTCATGCCCCCCGACATTCTCCCAATAAAATACCAAATAAATTGTTCCAGCTACATTGTCGTTTCTGACGTTCCGGTTAGTTTTTTGTACACGGCTAGACTAAAAACTATGGAACGGAAAATAAGTTTTGACAATAATTTACGCCGTTTGGTTTTGTCGAGTCAAGTTTGTTGAATATTATCAGTTTACAGTCGAATTTTAAATTTGTCGAAAAGCGATTGAGATGTCGCCGTTCAGCGTCTGCATTTAACTTTTCGTCGTTAAATATTGCTGTAGTTCGATATTTACGTATTATCAATGAACGTCAGCGTATTGTAATTGTTATTATAACTGAAGTGGTTCGCCCCTTGTTATGGCTCGCGCCATGCGAAGTGTTACGAGATCGATTGGTTTAAATGACGCTCGTTGCGTACGCACACACACGCTATACGACTGCTGTAGTTCACAGCATATACAACGGATTCCAAACACAACAACAGTAGGTTTTGCGAATAAAATAATATGTATTTTTAATGCGTTTTTTTTTTCTTTACAATGTTTCGTTTTTTTTTTTTTTTTTTTTTTTTTTTATGTGTTTTTGAAGTGCTTAGTAATAATATAGAATACGTGCGAATAATATAAAATAATATATGTGTTATGTATTATTTCGGTTAAATTCCGAACGATCGGACGGGAAATCTGTCGGATATCGCGTTTTGAATATAACATACCTACCAATAGAGCTCGGTATATTTACTTTAGTGTATAAATAACGTTATTCCGATTCGTTTAAATTGTCTAAGAATTTCTGCTCGTGTTTGCCTTCCGGGTCGAAGAACTTTGAGAGTCTTTTGTAATCATTAGGTCTAAGAGTTTTGACCGTGTCGATCATTTTCTTCATTCTCTTTTTCTGCTCCTTGGTACACGACGAACAACTGTCCTTGATTAGCGTAGGTAACAATTCTGAAAAAAAAAAAAAAAAAAAAAACGCTCAGAATAAATTAGAATATAGCAGTTCCTTATTTTATATAACGGTTGGGTCAACTATCATCGAAAATTATTCCTTTTAAGGTTAGGTGTTGTGTTGCTCGTGATATTTGTATAAACAATTAATACTTTAAATTAAAAAGCCTTAAAAATTATATACAAAAAATGAAATCGGTGTTGTATTAAGTGGCTTGAACAAGATATATTTTTATTTTTTTTTTTTAATATGAGTTTTGCAGTGTTGACTTGCTTCACTCTTAGAGATGTCCGATTTCGATAAATTTGGTTAAAAATAGAATAACCTTGTGAACGACTTTATACACGGTGTATTAGACTTCGAATTTTGATTATGTAAACAAAAACCTTGAAAAAAAAATCGGTCAATTCAAACTATTATTTAAGTGGAAATATAATTTTTAAAATCAATATCCATCAATTCGTCCTGTAAGAAGTTTTCGTGTTTCTGGCAAAAAAATAAATAAATAAAAAATAAAGTGCAAAAATGATTGAAATCGGACATGGTTCTACTGTTCAGCCTGTCAGTAAACGGTTCCCAACCTGTGGTACACAGAAAGCTCGTAGGTGGTACGTGAAGAAATTTGTCTTCCAATTGAAATTGAAAACTGCAATTTTATCTAAAACTTAAGATTTGTTTTACATTTACGAACATCAAACGATACGTAACGTTAGTAAATGAATTAATACTCAAAGAATAACTAAAAAAAGAAATTTGGCTCCCCTAGTTTAGTTTCAGAATAATATGTTGTTACGCGTATTGATCACCAAAGTGTCAAGTGGTACTCGGTGATAAAATGGTTGGGAAACCCCCGCCGTAAAATATGATTTTAGAGAAAAAACCCGACACGCGCATTCCCTTAGTGTACGGAAAAAACCGATTATCACTTATAGTAATCGCTTAACGCGAATTTCGCGAGAATAATACAATACCTGCTATTATGGTATTATACGATATAAACGAATTCGCATATATTTTTATTATTCCGGCATCACGAAAATGATCCTTGAAAATAAATTTTGAGGTACTATGGAAAAAAAAAAAAAAAAAAAAAAAAAAACAGCTGATACTGGGGATGGGAGCGGCCACTGTTGTAGGTGAGACGTTAGGGAGGCAGGATGCGTAAGGCTATATCATTTACATTCGTAAGCAACGATAAACCATTGCTTGACCGAAAGACGATTCCGAGCGCAGTTCGGCAGTACATAATTTGAAATGCCGTATGTCTTTTGCGATTTTCGTTTAAATTTGATTTCAAAACGCTTATTTAAAGAAAAAACAATTTTCATCCGATGATTTTGGAGACTTTACCACGTCTAGGTAAGGCCAATATAAGTATTACTACCGAGTTTCAAATCTCTACGTGTATTTATAACCGAATTACAACAGAAAACTTCCAAAAATCAAAAATTCCTTAAAAACTCGAAATTGGCTCAAAAGTTTTGTCAATGATAATGTAAAAAAGTAAATCAAAAAGGCAATAAAATAGATACCTTGTGATTTTTCGATTAAATCATTATTTCTGGTGGAAAACGTCATCCGTGTTTTTATATAATAATGAAATAGTAAAATTGTAAGTTTTTCCACGTTTTTTCACACTTAAGTAAAAACGCAAGTGTGCTAGGAAAACACAGACTCTGTGCACACACTTTGTTCACAGACTAGAACAAAGAACAAAGATAAAAAAAATAATTAACCGCATTGTAAAACTAATAGCTCCCTCGCTACCTTAGAAATCTAAAAATATTACGATTTTGGGTTCATTACACCGAAAATAAAATAAAAATAAGAGCGAAATCTCCGACATTGACGGAGCCGGTCGGATAATAAGTGTACGTAGTGGGCGTGTATTAAACGCAAATACGTTAGGAATCGGATCGTAAAAAGCGCCTTTTTTTTTTTTTTTTTTTAATAACAACGACGAAAGGTTTCTCGGAAAACGACAACCGTTTTTTTCTTTTCTTTTTAACTACGGGGTAAAAAATATACAAACTTATTGAATTCGCTGACGGAATCATCGAATGCACTCATAATTATATTATTATGTTCTTTATTTCGGAGAAGGAGAATAAAGGGAAAGAAAAAAAAAAAAGCGTTTCGAAGAACACGCGCTACGGGATTAAAGTTTAACGTATACGGGAGAGACCGTGAAGTTCGGCGCATGTGATTAATAATAATTGCGCTGCCGTACGACTAGAAGAAGTGTACGAGATACCGGAAAAAAAAAAATAAATAAATAAATAAACATGTTTATAATAAAATAGAGTTCAATAACGTGCCCGTACAATTTAATCGTATTGACTGTGAAATTATCCGGAAATACGAGTATGACTCCGCGATAATATCAATACGCGTTTCATAACATACGGCACATTGGAACGAACATTAATTATTGCGTATCGCCCGATTGGATAAAAAAAAAAAAAAAAAACGCAACGTGTTTAAAAACTCCGCGCGCCTTGTCGCGCCTCCCCCCCACACAAGCGCATGGTGTTCCCGTCACCCTTGCCCGGCCGAAGATAAAATGGCGAATGTCTCGTCGACGGGTCGACGGAATTCCGAGATTTCAACGCAACGGCCCGTCTGAACGAGTACCCCGTCTGTCTGCGGAATTTCGAACGCGGGTCGCCGCCGTTCGAATTTCGAAATTCGGCCCGCGGATCGGCCCCGAAATCGGGCGTCTAAACATTTCAAACCCATACGTGATTCTACGCTACGCCGTTCAATACAAACGTTCACCGCCGTACGTTGTTCTCGATTTTGTACATTTACAGCGGACGATTTCTGTAACGTTAGATTCTGTAGGCTCTACGCCGGACGTACGGGGCGACCCGTTTAGCGCACGCTCAGCCCGTTCGGATCGTTAAACGTCTACGCATTCGAATTCCGATATTCGGAACCCGACAACGCCGTTTAACGATATCGCGGCCACCGTCCGTTCAACGGCACATCGTCCGTTGAGTTTTCCATGCCGGCCGCGGTGTTACCGCCAGTACCGTTGCGCGGCGCGGTCAGGAGCTGGCGCGAAGTCGTCGCGAAACCGTTGCGGGCAACGGCGAAGTTACGAATTCCGGAAGAGCGTGCGAGTTGCGGCACGCGCGGTTCGAGTTTCAAAACGGACGGCGGAATGAGCTCGGCACGCGCGATTTCGCCGCGACAGCCGTCATAGCGCGGCCGAAAGTCCGCAATCGTTGCGATCGCGTCCGCGCGAACGGGTTCGGGGTTTTCCGTTTTCGCGGTCCGTCCGTCGTAAAGACCGCGGCGGCGGTTGTCTCGTCTCGAGCCGTTTAATTCGCGCGCGCGTCCGAGCCGCAATCGATTGCGTCGTTTTCGCGGCCGGCGCGACGGCTATTGCGATAAATAATAACAACACGACCGGCCGGCGTTACGAGACGGGGCCGGGGGCGGACGGCGCGTTCCGTTTTCGAATACGCCGAACACGTCCGCGTTCGTTGGTCGTCGCCAATTATCGCCCGGCGACCCTCCGCGCGTCTGTTAATACACCGCGCGATGGTACGCGCGCGTTACCGTACCGATACGCGCGCGCGGAGCTTCGCGCACGCGTACGCGTAATCCCCCGGACTATACCGCGTGTGTATGCATGCGCGCGCCGCGCGATATTATTATCGTCATTATCGTCATTATCGTTTTTATCGTTTTTATCGTTTTTATTACGCGATAACGCGCGCGCCGCCGCCGCATTTCGTTTTAGTGACGGGAATCCGTTTGCCTAACGGTATGCGCGTTGTTATTTCCGAGTGAAAAACAATCGGTTTTTTTATTTTTTTAAATTCTTTTTGCAGTTTCGATAATAACGACGCGATCGGTCGTCGTGTTTTTTCTCCCTTGACTTGTTCGTCTCTACTCGTGAACTAAATAGATCGACCCGCCCTCGGACGGCCGTAGTCGGGTTGAAGGCGGAGAGTGATATACTGCGTAACATAATATGAGCGCGATGCCGAAGCGGAGAAAAAAACAAAAAAAAACGAGAAATAACAACTAATTAGAAACAAACCATGGTAGGGTATTCATAAATAATTAAAAACGTAAACAACGAGCGGACTCGTCTATACGTCTACACATTTGCCAATGATTTATCAACGGACATTTTTCTATAAGAACATGTGTACGGTTATTGTTATTTTCGGTAATAGCTGGCATTTAATTTAAAAAATCAAATCTATAAGACCGAATTTATTAATTTTTTTTTTTTTTCTTAGTAAATTACTAGCCATGAGCGCCATTAGCAACGGTTTCTCTTTATTTACCATATCATTTGTGTTTATAAAATTATTCAATTTCGTATTCAATGTAAACTTTATTAGAGAGGGGGTCTATTTGTAATAATACATACAACTGAAAACATCGCTCGCACAGTTACGCGAATTTCGGAAAGTACTGAATCGGTTCCGGGGTAAAGAAAAAATGTATATACACCAATAGGTTCCCGATTAAAATGTCACATAGCACCATAAAACTGTTCGAATTGATACACGTTCGAAAATAGTTTAAAATAATAAGTTTAATCGCGGTTTATTTATCGGGTACCGCGGGAATATTCAGATCGGTCTCGTATCATCGAAAACCCGTAAACTTGTCAATACATATTAATAGTCTACGAAAATCGTACGTCTCTGCGGATGTTATTCGCTGAATAGTTAAAAAATCGAAATCAAAATCAAAACAAAAAAAACCGTTTACTGTCATAAACTTTCCTGTTTCCGTACGTTTTTTCGCGTTTTTCTCCGATAGTTAATAAAAATTCCAAAGTGAAACAAAAAACAACCTTCCATGACACTGAGTAGATAAAATTTCCTATCTGAAAATATGCTACTCTTGAAATTCGGAACCGGATTTCCGGTACAAAAACAAAAATATTGAAAAAAATAATGAAATTTGTTTTACGTTAAATTTGCCCATTTTTCTTACAGGTTTTTAACCGGCTTTTCCAAAATATAATGAAAAGTGCTTTGAAAAAAAAAGACCATTCTAACGCGCCAACTACATCCAAAGTTCTAGGAAAAAGCGCTCTCGTCGTTTTTTGATTAACGTACGATTTTCAGTAGAAAAGCGGTGTAAAACACATTACAAAAAAAAAAAAAAAAACGTATTTTACAATCAATACGCATCTCGCTACACTCATAATCTATTGACAATACTGTACGGTGTCGTCCGACGCGCGTAAATTGCAAATAATCGCGTCACGAAAATAGAACACAGCGGAAAACGTGCCTTCGCGACGCCGAAGACGACGACGACGACTCCACCGCCGTTTATCTAGCGACGTTTTTCGGATCCGCGACTCCGCGGAAAGTTCTCGCGCAGCATACCTGTCGGAAAGACAGTGCGCATCTCACCGTATATTATTATTATTATTATTATTATATTGACAAACTTAAAGTTTTTAATCGCGCGTGCGTCCCTAAACAAACGCGCTCGGAACTCTTTCTAATCGATTAAACCGAATTGGAAATTACTTCTATACCGGAGTTTCGCCGTCCGTCTCCGCGTCTCTTATATTATTATTACCAGTGTTTTAATACACACTCGCCCGGGGAATTACGTCTTGCGTAAAGATCAGCGAGAAATCGTGTGTATACGACTGAGCGTAAGTATATTGTATATAAGATCCCGTCCGCGTCGTTAGCCAATAACACAGGAACGAAATGCGTCTTTGCGCTCCGTTCACTCGAGTTCGCCCGAAACTTATTCTTCTGTCGCGTTCAAATTTAGACTTTAAACTTTTTAGCGTGCTAATATTATAATCGCGCGCAATATTGCCGCCCGTTTATATTTATTATCGAATTCGTTTAAAATTAAAGTCCATTGTAATTTATCACGATTATGAATCAAAAAATACGGACGTACTTCGCGCGTGGGTGCAGCAACTGTTTTGGGCGGGAATATGGAAAGGTATGGCACGGGTATGTCTGTAGTCAACGACAAACACCGTTGCCAACGAAAATACTATTCTGAACGGAGTTCAGTCGATACAGTAACGCTTAAGTATAGAATAAAGAAATACCTATAATGTTAATAAATGTCAATTGTTAAAAGAACGTATTGAAAGCGATAATTATTTCATACTAATATAGCTCGGTCTATAGTATTGCTGTCTCAACAATGTACGTTTTCGGGGGGACGACAATGAATGTTTAAAAAATATTTTATTAAAAGAAATAACTTAATAATACCAAAAAAATAATAAAAACGGTGCCAACGACAATCTTATTTTTTAACCTTTGAATCTTGTTTAACCTGAATAACCATGTTTTCCTCATTATTTCGAATATTAATGAGAATTTCAAAATTGACCTCTTTAAAGTACTATCCAGAGAACAGTTCCTTTCATAAAAAGTACAAGACTTGATTTTCGGAGTAAGCGTCATGGTATAAAAAGTGCTCAGATAAAAAAAAAAAACATAATTATAAAACCAATACATTCCTTGCTCCACTCAGAATCTAAAAACACATAAATAAAAATAAATTAGGGAATAGATGTTTCTGCACAATAAAGAAAACTGAAATGTATTATTTTTATGTAATTTAAGACTGACAATTGAAAACTGCCATTAAAAGTTAAGATTTTCGTATAGGCTTATTTTGTGTTTTTGTGATTGAAGTTTGGAACATGTGACTTGTGATTTTAAGGAGTCTAAGGTACAGAAAATCTGAGTTTTAATAATAGTTAGAATAGAATATGTGAGTTTCTATAAAATGGAACTCATGTTAAATTTGACACAAATCTTTATATTTTAATCTGTGTATTTGTACGTTTCGAAAGGGACTGATTACATAAGCGAATTTTACTTCAAAAATCTTACAAAACAATGTCAAATACTTATTTTCTCTTTTTTTTTTTACAATATATGAGTTGCGATTCTAGCCTACTCAGTCATTATGACACAAATCTCGATTTAAACTCATAGTTTTTTCCCTGTTGATCGGCACCGCTTATAAATTTCAGCTTAACTATCATAACGGTCATATTTTGATAAAGAGATACTATTCGAAGGTAATGATTCCGCGGTCAGGTGGACATTTATGATGGAAATTATACATACCAAAAAAATATAATTGAAAAAAGAGACGAATAAGAAAAATAAGTCAATAAGGACATTTGAAGAGTGCGGGTATATTAGAAAAACCGTTGTCGTCGCTCTTACTTTTCGATTCTTTGGTCTGGGCCGTGCACGGACCCTCGTCCAGCAAACATTTGATGTGGCTCGTCATGAGTCTGGTGTTGTTCAGCAATTGATCCAGGTCTATGTTGTCCATTGTCGCCAGGTACTTTTTGATCTGTTCCTTATTCGCATTGTCGCCGTCATCGGTTGGATTTAAAGCGGTGAGCTCTTCGGTATCGGCGGCAACTTTTGTGCACCAGCACGTGGAAATGGCAGCCGAAGCCAAAACGATCGCGCACAAATATTTCATTTTTCGAATATACGTCTTCGTCGATGTCGTCGGATGGAAGCTGTCTGCGGATCTCCTTTTGTACACTCGAATAATAGTATGGTCCGCTGTTCTGGCGAGTTCTCGGTTTTATACCCGTTCGCCGACAAGGCCGACTCGGTATATAATTGTATTAATTCGTTGTCGTTGACGAGATTATAAAATAAAAAAATTGCTCCGATTATAATGTCCCCTTCTCTCGTCTAACGCGTAACCGTAATTTCGAGATACCATCGCGAGACCTCGGAAGCTTCTTCGTTGACTATTATTGTTATATCATTGGGTTACCGCGCCGCTGTCCTACCGGTCAGTCAGTGGGATATAAAATTCGAGTCACGTACTCGAAATATAATAACCATTGTCACTTTGCACCTTGTCAAAAAGCTTGCGAAGAGGCACAGTGAATAAAATTCAGATGGGTTTGAAAAAAAAAGAGAAAAAAAAGTGATCTCATAATTTCGTAGTGGGTGAGCGGAGGGTTTGAATACTTCCCTCACCTCTCCCGTTACGTCCGCCAATATAACCTAGTTGTTATGTTCCACCAGAGTTAACAACAACGCGTTTCCGAATCATCCACTTTTGACAGTTTTGATAGCCTGTCTTTCGTATGCGTGAATTTATGATGAAGTCATAGAAATTCGACAGAAACTTTCTTTTTTTTTACACCTGTAAGGTTAAATAGTACACAAACGATAGCGTACGAAGAATAAAATATTTTCGTTTATCCATATTTGTACTTTACGGTATGTACATGCGCATGGGTTATGAAGATTAGGTAATAATATGAATGGTTTAATTGGAGGCTGTTTATTTATTACGATTTGCGAGCGTTAAAATAGATTATAATATTATTTTAAAATTGTATACCTATCTTTTTTATAGTATTGAGAGTGCCATACCGGCTGGCATGAATCCAAAGCAAATATCTATGAGGAGGGGGGGCAACAATTTGTTTATAACTCAAATACAATTACAATATCTATGGTTCTAATTTATAGTAACACTATAGATCAATTTACCACAATCTATTTGTAATTATCCGGGACCAACTTTAGTGGTGACGTGGCACACTTTTGTGGTGTCACCAATTAACGCGTAGTTACGTAATCACAATATTTGTATTGAAGTCCGCAAATATGTTTAATATATCATACTAAGTTGTGATTAAACTATAGTAATATCAGGTTCTATACAATTACAAAAAAAATTGTAGGAATAATATTTCTTGGGATGGCGAGGCTGAGCCCCCTGGATCCGTCCATGCGCACTGGCATCTATTGTCTCAATGTAATTAACGGGCGTCATAATAAATGTGCATTTCTTTGAACGTGAATTGTGGCGTTTTTACGAAAATTAGAAATTAAATACAAACAACAAAATTTAAGGAGAAAAATATTAAAAATATTTCTGACAACTACACGGAAATTTATTTTTTATATCGAATGTGAACACAAAGAAGTAATTGTTACTAAAAAGAAAAACATGGTCACAAATTTTTTGCGTCATTACTTTTTAGGAAAGTGCTACGTAAATGCCCTAGAGAATTTTCTTTGAATCTTATAATTTGTGTTCAATCTCTAATTTCAACATAAACGCTACACTTTACCTTTTAAGTAACGCAATTTGGCTATGCTAAAAGTTGGTTAAACTGTGAAAGTATATGCGGTTGTGGTAACGACGTTCTCTTAAAAGGGTCATTTTCCGCATGCACGTGGATCTAATATCAAACGTAAATAATAGAATATATTGACTGCCGTCTACATGAATATATTTCATTCTTCAAATATTGTTAAAGAAAATAAGAATATATTTTCGGTTCCCTCCGACGTTCCAAAAGTATAACTGTTCTATTTACTAATAATACCGTCAGTTTAACTGCAGTGCCTGTACACGATATTATTCGGAATATTCTCTTAACATCGGGTTTATGAAAACGCTATTTTATAAAAAAAAAAATAACTTTTTCTTATATAGTATAATATGATAAATGCCCCTATATCATATGCAATCGTTTGGATCAACTGTATAAACACGCAGAAAGGAAACGCCCGAACACAAATATATAATAGTGTAAACAAATCTTCGATTCGTGTATACAATAAAAACACACATTTGATAAACAGAGTATTCTTATTTGTTTTGTATTTTGATTTAATATAAGTAAACACAAATAGTTAATAGTTATATTTTTGTTCCCGCGGTGAAATACAGCCGAAATAATTTTTGGAAAATATTTTCCATTCAAATCTGTGTTGAAAGGGGGAGAAGGAAAATGTTGTCATTTAAAAAATACAATACATATTAAAGGTAAGTCTATTAAAGAGTACAGGTAAACATTTACACCTGTAGTAAAATAACACTAAAACAATAGTAACAAAGTTAAAAAAGCTGATGTGGAGGATAGGAGCGGCTACTGTTGTAGGTGAGAAGTTGGAAAGGTAGTAAAAGTAAGCAACTATAAACCAATGCTTGATGAAAAACGATTCCGAGCGCAATTAGCTAATACACAATTTGAAGTATCGTAATTTTATTTGCGATTTTCGAAAACGAAAAATTTAAAAATTTGATTTCAAAACGCTTATTAAAAGAATAAAAAAGTGTTTCGATGATTTTTAGTAATTGTACCATTTGTAGATAAGTCCAATATAAGTATTACTACTAAGTTTTAAGTCTCTACGTAAATTTATTTCCAATTTACAGCAAAATCCTCCCAAAAATTTAAACGCCTCAAAAACTCAAAATCGGCTCAAAAGTTTTGTCAAGTTTTTGTAAAAAAGTAAATCAAAAAGGCAACAAAAAATATATCTTGTGATTTTTCGATTAAAACATTATTTCTGGTGGAAAACGTCGTCCGTGTTTTTATAAAATAATGAAATAGTAAAATTGTAAGTTTTTTCACACTTAAGTGCTTTTATTTAAAATTAAAAATCGAAAATTAAAAAAATAACTTCATTAATGTACAGTCTAGACTACTTGAGCTTTCAGAAGAGTTGCTATACGTAAAAATCGGAGCAAGTTTACTAGGAAAAAACGGGTACACAGTCTAGAACAAAGAACAAAGAAAAAGAAATAAACATCATTGTAAAACTAATAGCTCCATTGTTACGCTCCGAATCTAAAATGATAATAAATACGGAACATAGTTGAACCAATACACTTTGTGTTCAAAATCTATAAATATTTAGACACAAATCCTTAGCCTTTAATAAATCCTTATCCTTTAGCCTGGTGCGAGAAGAACCAATGTCAAACACAGTCATTTGTTACTTGTAAATTGAAAATTGAAGTCGAAAAAAATTATTTAATTTCTTATTAATCTTAATTATTTAACATTCCAAAAATCTAACGTTATGTCTATCATTATTATAATAAGTTTTTTTTGTTTTTTACATTGGCTATTCTTGGAACATTCTACAGACGTATTATAATAAAAGACAATGGCCAAAATAATTATCTAGACGAAGGTAAATCGTACTTAACAATTTAAGTATCCAGCTAAAGATAGATATGATCAGCAGCTGCATGTGTTTATCAAGATAAAAACAAAAAATAAGACGATTTTATTCGTCAGCTCTCTTAAAACTCGATCCTTAAATTGCAGTACACATTACTATAGTGTTTAGTGCAAGTTTAATTTTTTAACCATACGGATAAAAATCAAATATTTTACCGGTTCATGTTGTAAGTAAATATAGTAGTAAATATATTATTTACGAGTTGAATCAATATTTATCTATACCATTTAATTAATTATTTAAAACGTTTCGTTTACTATTTATCGCTCGATGAAAGAGTAAAGATAAAATTATGCCTATATCTAAATAATTATATAGATAAATATATAACGCGGGAAGAAATTTAATCGTTATCATTTTTTTTTATTTTTATTTTATTTAATACGGTTCAAATATTCTATACGGAAATGATATCATCAAAAAAAAAAAATCCCGTTTGAAAATTAATTAAAATTATGTCCCACCTCTAGCCATATTATATTAATACGTAGGTATCGAAACAATAATGAACACGTTTGCAATGTATAGAGTACTTTTGTGCTATTCAAATTTTTAATTATTAAAACATATTATTTTGAACTGAAAAAAAAAACTGTAAATTATAATTATCCCGAAAATAGTTTCCGACCGTTGGGTTCTCTTTTCATTAGCTGTTAATGCGATAATTGCGGGCAGATGTATTATTGTTTACTGCCCTACGGAGTCGACCCATTTATTCGTACGAGCCTTATGAATTATATATTGAACTTTTCGGTATTGAATTATCATGATATTGTTAAAAAAAATACCTGAAATAATTATTTTTCCCGACATCAAAAGTTTTATAGTATTTTGTGTTGTTAATATTTTCTTTCTTACGATCTGTAAACGATTTTCGGTCCAGAAATCATAATCCTTTCAGACCAGAAATCCTGATCCGATCTACAACTAAAGGTCGACTTTTGATAGACGGTTTTGTCCAGGTGGTGAATTGAGAAGGCTATTGTTTTGTTTCTTCGTAGTATTCATAATTAATTAGGAAAAATCGGAAATATTTACATAGTTACGGTCTCCGTTATTTCCTTTCTGCTGTAATAATCATAGAAAACTGAAATTTCTGCCAATTACTCGTATTACCCCATTCTCTAAACCTGGTCAAATTTTCAAAAATTTCTGGCAATTTTGTGGCCTATTTATAGCTACTTGAAATTTTTGTCACATAAAATTAATATATTAAAGCTACAAAATAGTGCAAATATGTTTTTGTTGAATTAAAACGAATACTTACGAATAATACTTTATTAAACTCATTGCACTTACTCGAATGCACCCTACTATTATTATATTATATTATATTTTTAAGTTGTATATCACATGGGATAATGAAAAAATATCATCATAAGTTTTACTTCACGGTTAAACAACGTAAAATATAATTTTGACAAAAATCATAAAAATGTAGGCATTTCAAAACTCTTTTAACCAAACTTCACTCAGAATCGCGTTTCGGCAGTAATGATTATTTACAATTGCTGTGTATGGATATAAATTAAATAAATGTATCCTGCGTTTC